AGGCGGGGCTCAGCCACCAGCTGCCACTAACTCTGCCGCTGCCGACGGGTTCTGAATGAAAACCAAGAGCAGTTTACACAGCCCGTCGCCCCTGACAGCCTGAGGCCTCTGTTAGACGCCTCTGCTGCTGGTCTGGGAGAGTGTCCAAAGGGCCACCCTCCCTGGATTCTGCTTCGAGAGCTGTAGGCCCGCAGAAAGTCGCCATGATGGAACACGTGCTATAGGGAAGTCCTCCCTGCTGTAAGCTACTGCGCCTCTGAGGTGGTTTTTGGGGGGACTGGTTTTTGTTTTGTTTTTGCTTTTTTTTTTAGAGGTTTTGGCTATAGGGTGTGTTTACTTGCTGGAAAGACAGAGAGAGACAGAGAGATAGAAAGCAAGAAACCATCCCCGAGGGAGGACAGCCATGCCGCAATCCCTTCTCTTCCATTCTCCTCTTGCGTCACAGACCTGGTGGCTTAAACTCACGCCCGGCACATGTACGTGCCCAAGATCCTGAGAGGAAAATGGAGGAGAAGGGATTGCGGCGTGGCCATCCCCCCTGGGGGTTGATTTCTCGCTTTCTGTCTCTCTGTTTCTCTCTGTCTGTCTGGCAAGCACACGTGCCCTATAGCAAAAAAAATAATCTCTCCAAAAACAAAAAAGTACAATTTTGATTGAATGGGGTGAATTTTTGAAGACTCCTGGGTGATTCCAATGGAGAGCCAAGACTGAAAGCCACTGCCCCAGTGAAATTACCCAAAGACACACCATACCAAGACAGGGCCGTCGAAGCACCTGCTCCTGTCTGTCCGATTTTGTTCTTTCTTTGGGTCACATGCTGCTTTGGGATCTGAGCAGCGCACGGCTCGCTGGCGTGTCAACAGCTAACGCACGCACGTCTGCCACATATCGGACACTTGGATTAGCGAGTTTTGTTCTCAACATAGTCCTGTGAGGTAAATATTCCCACTCCGCAGGTCAGGACCTGAGTCACAGAGAGACTGAACGACCCCACGTGCCACCCAGCGGGCAGACACAGGAGGAGAAACATTGGGGCTCATCTGAAACCCCTGGACAATTCTCCCGTTTACGCTAAGCAAGGCCGCCGTGTCCCTCAGTAGAAACTCACTCGGCTCTCCCCGAATGCACACGCCAGCGCAGCGCACGGGTCCACAGCGGGAAGACAGACATTGCAGAACGGATCGAACTTAGGAGGAAGAAGCTGGAGGTTTACCGTAACTGCCGGTAGTTGCTTCTCCTCCAATTTCTTTCTGCTTGGCTGGTCTTTCTTGTCCCTGTCCTTCGGTGTCACCTGTGTGCCTTCTGTAATTTCTAGGTGCTTCCTGCTGCGCCACAGATGCCATCACGTAACTTCTCTCTTCTGGAAGAGAGTCTGCTGCTTCAAGGGCTTCCTGGTGCCTGACAAGGCCAGGTGTGTCCAGCTGGCCCCGGGGCCACCTGCGCAGAAACGACCTCAGTTCCCCTCATGACCACGCCACAAGCAGCAGAGGTCCCCCCCGAGTGGCGCCGCTCAGTCCGCACAGCTCAGAGCGGGCCCTTCCTGC